AGGACATAATCTACATGCACGTACGGGCCACCATCCAAAAAATTGGCGCCAAAACCCGCGTGGTACCCGCGTACGGGCCCGCCAAAGTTTTTTTAGGGTCGGTTCATAACTCGAGGATCTGAGAAGCTAGAAGGCTGAAATCTTGGGGTAATGTTCCCCGCCAAGCGTTCATAACTCGAGGATCTGAGAAGCTAGAAGACTGAAATCTTGGGTTAATGTTCCCCGCCCAAGCGGGTATTAGTGGGCTCAAACCCAGCCCCCGGGTAAGCATGGTACCCCCCAAGCGGGTATTAGTGGGCTCAAACCCAGCCCCCGGGTAAGCGTGGTACCCACCTACGGGCCCGCCAAAATTTTTTACTAGTGACCGGGGTCAGCTCATAACTCGAGGATCCGAGAAGCTAGAAGGCTGAAATCTTGCGGTAATGTTCCCCGCCCAAGCGGCTATTAGTGGGCTCAAATATCAGTTCATAACTCGAGGATCTAAAAAGCTAGAAGGCTGAAATCTTGGGGTAATGTTCCCCGCCCAAGCGGGTATTAGTGGGCTCAAACCCGGCCTCCGGGTAAGCGTGGTACCCGCGTACGGACCCCCCAAAATTTTTCTCGCGCAAATTCATAACTCGGGACCCAAGAGGCTGAAATCTTGGGGTAATGTTCCCCGCCCAAGTGGGTATTAGTGGGCTCAAACCCAGCCCCCGCGTAAGCATGGCACCCCCGTACGAGCCCGCCAGAATTTTTTTCAGGTAAGTTCATAACTTGGGGATCTGAGAGGCTAGAAGACTGAAAACTTGGGATAATGTTCTCCGCACAAGCAGCTATCAGTGGGCTCAAATTCAGCCCCCGGTTAAGCATGGCACCCGCGTACGGCCCCCCAAAATTTTTCCCGCGCAAATCCATAACTCGGGGTTCTGAGATGCTAGAAAGCTGAAATTTAGGGGAATGTTCCCCGTCCAAACAGGCAGCCCCCGGATATGCGTGGTACCCGCGTACGGGCTCCCCAAAGTTTTCCCCGCGTAAATTCATAACTCGGGGTTCTGAGATGCTAGAAAGCTGAAATTTTAAGAGAACGTTCCCTGTCCAAGCACGTGCTAATGAGCTCAAACCCAGCCCCCGGGTAAGCGTGGTACCCGCGTACGGGCCCCCCAAAATTT